CACAGTAGACTCACACAGCAGGGGATTTGCCTGGAGCCCCTAGTATATAGAAAGATAGAAAATAATTAAAAATCAAAACATATTCTGATTCCAAATCAAAAGGCATTCCCCTAAGCCTCTGTGAAAATTGCAAGCATTGGCAAATTAATAAGACTGTAGCTTGAGGTAAATCTGCACTTAGCCTCTGTAATTACCAAGAAACAAGAGATGCCTCAGTGGGTTGGGTGAGAAAAGAAAATGATTCCCGGACATCAGTGGAGTCATTAAGAATGCAAGAGCACTAATGTACTGGGGCTACCACCAGGGGACAGTTGAAGCCTGGACTGCCGCAGGAATAGCCAGCTTCAGCTTCCACCTTCGTGGTAAACAGAGAAGAGATGCAGAGGCTTGGTAGGAGAGGAAGGGGTTGGGCATGTCAGGCACCCTCACTCTGTGCAGACTTCTATGCCTGGTATTTTATAAAAATTCCCTCACATGTCCCAACAGGATCCATAGGTCCTTTCAGTTAGATAGGTAATGTGTCTACTGCCAGCATAACCAGTATTATCATTGCAGATACTCTGCCACATGAAAGGACACAATATTGAGATTTGAGACCGCAATGTCCTTCACTGGCCATGTGTTTGAACACTGCAGCTGGCAGCGCCCTTTGGGGAAGTTATAGAATCTTTAAGACAGAGTCTGGTGCGAGGACATACATACTGGGGCAGGCTTCCTGAAGGCCATCTCTACTTCTGGTCCCAACTTGAGCTGTCTGCTTCTGTCTGCAGTGATGTGAACAAGCAGCCACTTCAGGCTCCTGCTGTGCCCTGCCTCATCTCGCACGTTAAACTGTGACCCTCTAAAACCAGGAGCCAAAATAAGTCCTTCCTCCCTCAAGTTGTTTCTGTCAGGTATTTTGTCACAGGAATGAGAAAAATGACTATTAGATGCAGACAAGGTCATCTTTTATTAATTGACCAAAATGGGAAAAATAAGACAATTACATATGTTCTTATTCCTGCTTAACACAAGCATGTTTACCATGTTTATTAAATATCCTCCTTCAAAACGTGCAACTGAAGGTAGTTTTCACAAACTTTCTTATCAGTCTGTTTATAGGATTGTCACATTTTTACACAGTGATCTAAAGAACTTTCTCTTGTAGGTAAATCACTGAAAAATTATCTGTCTCTTTAAAAGTTAGGTTCCTAGCATGGAAACAGATGGACAAAAGCATATCAATGTTTTTAAAGTCAAGTTTTTGAGGCAGAAAATTTCACAAACAGAAATTGCCACCCTTTTTAGGTGTACAGTTATACGGGTTTTGACAGATGTGTCATGCAACCACCACTGTCTATTACAGTTACAAGTATGTTATCAAATGGTCTGCTGCTAAAGTTCACCTTTTCCTACTTCCTATTATCTATGACAGATGAACAGGTTCTATCTTTAGGAGCTAAAAGAGCAAAAGTTTTCCATTTTATAGGTAAATGTTTCCATCTTGCTTTATGTTTTGTTTATTGGCTTGCTAACAAAATTACATATTTTCCATGTTTATTATCTGCTTTTATGTAATACTGTGAATTTTCATATATCCTTGACCGGTACTTTTAGCCAGTTTGTCTTTCTTACAGATTTGTAAAAACTATTAAGGATTTTGGGTGGGAGAGTAATCTGTCACTTTGCATAAATGTTTTCTTCATCATTTCCTCTTAATTTTTTTTCCTCAGATGTGTTTACATTTCTTTTTTAAATATTTATTCTTATTATTTGTTTGTTTGGTTTTGGTTTTTTGAAACAGGGTCTCTCTGTAGCCCCAGGTGGCCTGGAACTGGCTATGTAGACCAGGCTAGCCTCAAACTCACAGAAATCTGCCTGCCTCTACCTCCACTGTGCTAGGATTAAAGATGTGCACTACCATGCTCAGCTTATTTTTATTATTTTTAATTAAGTGTGTGTGTGTGTGTGTGTGTGTGTGTGTGTGTGTGTGTGTGTGTGTGTGTGTGTGTGTGTGTATGTAAGTTTGTGCATGTGAGTTCAGTGTCCACAGAGGCCAGAAGACAATGACAGATCCCCTGGAACTGGAGTTACAGGTAGTTGTTAGTGGGCCCTGCATGGGTGCTAGGAACTGAGTCTAGGGTCCTCTGGAAGAGGAATAAGTACTCTTAGCTGCTGAGCATCTCTCCAGCCCCATGTTCATGCTTAGATTCCTGTAATTTCTCCATCCCTTCTACCTTAGACATCCTCTTCATAAAGTGCTCTTCCATTCCGTGATTAATTAAATGGTTGCCCATTTTATATTTAAACTTTTGATTCATTCTATTTATTTTGGCATGTCTCAGGGAGTAAAATTTTAACTTCATATTTTTCTCAAATAATGAATCAATTATCCAAGTTCCATTTACCAAAAGTCATACCTTTTCTTCACCAATTTGAGAAGTTGCCTTTATTACAGTTCATATTTACAATTCACTTGGTTGTGTCTGCATTTTTTGTTCTACTCCACAAAATTTCTTGCTTTTTTTGTTGTTTTCGGAAGGTGATAGATACTATTTCACACTTCTCTTATGTTTCTTAAAGTTTTTCAATATCTGTTATGGCAAGCGCTCGTTTTCATTACTATGAGTTTTCAAAGTATCTTCTCAGGCCCTACCTATTCTGGATGAACCTAAGACCATAATTGAATTTTAAACATCCAGTCAGAATTTGTATTGAAATATCACTGCTGATGCATTAACCCCAGGATAGCTAATATCCTGACAGTGAGCAATTTACCTCTGAGGAACACGCTATTCTGTTCCATGTATTCAAGTTGTTTTTATGTAACTCAGTAAAATTCTATGGTTTCTTAAAGTGGGTTCTGCATGGGTTTGTGTATATATTTATTATAGATATAATGCTCTTTTATTGTTATTCATGGCATCATTTTTTCATAATACTTGCCAACTGGTGGTCCCTACTTACATTAGTTTTTAATTTTTACTATCTGTTTTGTAGAAAGTTTATATGGCTAGGGAAATGGTTCAGGTGGAAAAGTATTTGTTACACAAGCATGAGGACCTGAGTTCAAATCCCCAGAAACCACATGAAAGTTAAGCACAGTGGCCCACGTATATAAGTCACTGCTGGGAAGTCAGAGACAGGTGGATTCTCACGGTTCACTAGCTCACTAGTCTAGATGAATTAGTGAATCCAAGTTCAGTGAGAGACTCTGTCTCAAAAACATAAGATGGTGAGTGACTGAGGACACCCAACATTGACATCTGACTTCCACATGTACTCTCTCTCTCTCTGTGTCTTTCTCTCTGTCTCTCTCTGTCTCTCTCTCTCTCTCACACACACACAAACACACTCAAACACACATGTACACACACACAAATGCATCTACTTAAACATACATACACACATTCACACACACACACATGCGCACACACATATAAATGAACACAAATATAAACATGCACATAACCAAAAGACAATTTACTAAAACCCAGTTACAATAATATTTGAATTTTCTTTCTCTTGGGATTTTAGGAAAAGATTGTGTCATTTATAAATCCTAATAATTTTACCTTCACTTTTCTGACTTTATACTTCATTTCTTCTTCTGGATTTTCATTTTCTGGCACTACTTATTTAGAATCATTTTGAAATATATAATACTTTTTCACACTATTACACTTTAATGTCATATACATTTCTGACATTTTTATTTTTATGTGTATGAGTATTCTGCCTGCATGTATGTACGTGCACCCATACTGTGCAATGCCCATGGAGGACAAAGGAAGGCACTGGATCTCCTAGAACTGGACTTACAGATGGTTGTTACCCACCATGTGGGTACTGGGAACTGAACCCAGGTCCTTTGCAAGAACAGTCAATGCTCTTAACCACTGAGCCATCTCTCTAGCCTCATAGTTTACATGTTTTATAAAAATCAGAAATGGACTTTAATCCAATTATGGTAAACAAATTTAGCCTGTGAATAAGTCCCTATTTAGTATGGTGTGTTATTCAGTATTTTATATGAATCATTTATTTCTATAATTATTCTTTGGCATGCTTTCTACCAAGTTATGATGTGACAGTGGGGTTATTCTCATTTATGAGACTGAGAATCTTCTACCTTTTCCTAAGCATTAGAATACTTTAAGTGACTCAATCATGTGTGATGCTTACTACATGGGCATAACTCATCACCTTCTCCAAAGTGTCTTGGGGAGGCATCAGCTATTATTGTTTGTTGCTGTTGTTTGTTTACTTGCTTGCTTGTCTGTTTTGTTTTGTTTCTCTAGGCAGAGTCTCACCAGGCTTACTTGGCACTTACTCTGTAGCTCAGGCTGGCCTCAAATTCACAGTAATCCTCCTATCTCAGCCTCCCGTGTGCTAGGATGACAGATGTGAGTCACCGTGCTCAGCTAGCCATCTTAGCCTCTAAAGACCTCCCTTTCGCTCAGTATTGACAATTTGTATTAAGAATTTCTAAGTTCATTCAACAATTTAGAAAATCAGATGGTGAAAAGTGAATTCATCTGTTGTCTTAAAATACAACAAAGTGTAAAAAAATACAGATGAGAATTAATCTGGCACTATATTTCCTGCATTTCTTGGGATTTCGTTAGCTCTTGGCAAACATTATTTTTACTTACATAAAGTGTCTTGATTCTAACATGGTATTCAAAGAGTGATTCATACTTCTTTAGATACTACAGATATTTCTACCCTCAATTTCCTAGGAAATAAATTGAATTTGAAAAGTAGACTAATAAATAGCATGAGACTTCTCCAAATCAGCTGCTAGATTATAAAAGGAGTTTATGTTTTCACCTGGAGCAGAGACCTGCCTTGTCTGTAATGATTTCTTATCATGAACAGTAATGCCATGTAAAGTACAGCACAGCTTCATGTTCTTGAGATGCCACAACAAATCTCAGCCAAAAGGCATGATCAACTCTGTGCCTTTCATCCTTCAGCAACCCGTACATCAATAACTGCATTTTCTTCCTCTTATCTAGGATGTCTGTGTTCGGGCTTATCTAGCGCTCCGTCATCACACAAACCTGTTGATCATCTTGTTCTCCATGATGCTGATGACAGGAATGCCCCAGTTAACAAGCAAAGAAGACATAGAATATATTCGGGATGCTCTCACCGTGGGGAAAAATGAGGGGGATGCTAAGAAATATTTTCTTGATCAGATTGAAGTTTGCAGAGACAAAGGATGGACTGTGCAGTTTAACTGGTTCCTGCATCTTGTTCTTGGCATCAAGCAAGGAGAGAAACATTCTGCTTAATATTTGGGGACAGAATCAAAACAATTTAGTGTTCTAAAGATTTAAATCCACATGTCAGTTATCAGACTTGAATTTATAATGCAATAGGACACTATAAAAGCTAGCACTTCAGAAATACAGCTCTTTCCCCAGCTGAGAAAAAAATAATGTTGGCATAATTCATTAATATTCCGTGCTAGACCTATTTGCTGTTTTTTTTCTAATGTTCTTAGAATATGCTGGAGAATATTCTAAGTTTGAATAGACTGATGACTTCCTTATGCCTAGCTGTTTTTTATTGAATGCTTCTAGAACTACTTCAATAGGACAATTGGTGATAGCTGTTATCACTTTCGTTTACTCTCAATTTTGGTCAGCCTGGTTCTTTAAATTCTTTACAGAAAAAGATGTAAGCATTGTATTTTCTATTTTGTTCTCTAAGCATCATCTCTGTGCCTTGGATGTTAATGATGTGCTAAAAGCAAGAAGGAAAAGTTATCCTTTAGGGTGTCTTTCACAACGTGCAGCTGAGATGCATAGACGCATAAAGCAAACTCAATCTGTGCCTTGACCCTCCTCTGTTAGTCTGGCTCAAGGGTTACAAATATGAAAATTGGAGGTAAGGGCTTTTGTCTGAGGATGAATAACCAGTACAATTAGTGTCATCTTCTGAATCACCAAAGCTCAAAATAAATAAATAGACTGTCTTATGCCTGCAAATTTCACTTTCCCTTTTCCTGCCTCCCGTCTTCCTGAGTTGTCCTCCTACACTTCGTGAACTGTGGAAGTTTCAAGGACAACTTCTCCCTATGACTCAAAGTTACTTGAAAGAGAGTATCTACTCTAGGATTACCAGAATTATTGGTACTTATTTATGGAGCTGTTTCATGGATTTTTAAAAGAATATTACTAAAAGAGGTGTTCAAAAACATTAGTTTCCAAATGCTTTAATTTGAATCTGAACACCTCTTTATTTTTTTAAAGGAAGACGAAATTTGCTATCAAAATGTGTTCTGTTTGTAAGAACTCTACTTGCCTATTCATGTCTCACTTTAAAGGATTTTGAGATTTTGAGACCTCCCAGATTACCTAAAGACAATTGAACCGTTTTCCTTTAAAATATCATTTAGCTCTTAAATATTGTGCTGTTTATTGAAGGTGTTAATCAACCTTAAAGAGATCATTGAATTGTTTATGCAATATCTTTACCTATCATTAATTCCCTAGAAATAACTGTGTTAATGGTGTCCATATTTAAATAGAACAAGATATACATATTTTTCTGATTTTTTAATTTTCAAAATAGATACCTACTTTACTTAGATGGAGTCCAACCTTCCTTTTATGTATGCAGAAGCCAAGTGGGGCCTAATTTTGCTGCAAATAAAAACACTTTATCAGGGACACTTTTTAAAAATGCCCTTGCCCGAGCCCCATTTTTTCAGATTATAATTTACTTAGTGAGAGATGAGGCCCAGGCACAGTTTTCTAAGTACACCAGCTGAATCTACTACACAGGCAGGGAAGGAAGACCTGCATGGCCTATGAAGGTGTAGGTCATCCTGCCTCCCTGCCCACTGAGTCTTCCCCTGACTCGCAACTACCTACAAAGAACTCCTTATCCTGGACAATTGACCCTTTTAAAATCATGCTATCTCCCTGTACCGAGAGAGGACCATGCCCTGTGCTGAAATCTTATTTTTCTCTATAAGTAGAATTTGGGTATTTTATAGCATTTCTGAACCACGGTTCCCTGCTAATCTTTTGAAGCAGAGCAGGAAGGATGATGCTTTCTATTCAGAACAGGCTTTAACTTTGTTTCTAAAGATGAACTGCCACAGACTGCGCAGACTCTGCTTTTCATTTGAATTGCTGAAATGATCGTCTTGATGAGAAATCAACTACAGAGCAACATATCTATATTTAGCTTATTGGCACATATGTGTACATATTTGTTCTTGAAATGAACCAGCTTTTCCATGAAGCTGAAATATGTATGATACTATATATCAGAGTTCGTATCTCCATATTCTAATGGATGTAATTTCAACTCTGTAAACTTGCAGATAAACAAAAATCACCTTTGTTTGCTTGCTTTCTTTACACAGTTCCTGTGAGTTATATAGCCAGTGATTTATACACCTTTGAAAATGTTCTGTAACTCGGGTCATCCTGCCACTGGGGAAATACCCCTGTCCCTATCTTCAATGCCAAGTGAAAACACAGATCACAAGTCAGATGGGGCAGGTCAAAGCAACTTTATGTATAACTAGGACTGGCCATAAACTTTGCAGAGTCCAAGGCAAAATGAAAATGTGGGAGCCTATTGTTAACAAATGAGTAAGACACTTCAGGTAGAATAGGAGAGCATTAAACCAAGCACCGTGCTCTTTTCTATGTGGGGCCCCAGTGATGACGCAGGTCACATATAACTGGTGCTGTGTATTTCAATAATGGCCTTGCTGACCAGGGTTGTACACACAGATTGTGTCTGCATGAGTACAAAATGAAAACGTTGTTTCTGTTTAAAAGATAAATTCATCTACATGGCTCTACACTATAACATAAAGCATAGTTCTCAAGGTAGAACAGTAGTCCCTGAAAGTAACACAAAGCAGATATTTTAGACCTGGTCCCATGTGACTGCATTTCACTGGCTTTAGTGATACTTTGAAAAAGTCAGGAAAGACATTTTGAATAAATATATCTACTAGAAAAGAAACTTGATTTGTAAAAAAATTAAATATAGTAAGTATATCTTTTTCAGGAGATGAGGTTTTAAATGTTACAGAAAGAAATTCTATAGCATGATTTGGAAGCTGTTAGTCCTATATTAATGGAAATTGATTTTTTTTTAAGGAAATTGATTTTTTTAAATAAAAATTTAGAAAATACATTTCTGGATCAAATTCTTATCTTTGTCAGGATAGGCTCTGCTTTCCATAAATGGCAATTATATTTAAGAATTTCATAGTAAAATAAGCTGATACCGATGGTTATTAGCTGCCAAATGAGTGCTAGGAACTGAACCAGCTCCTCTGCAAGAGTAGCCAGTGCTCTTAACCACTGAACCATCACTCCAGCCCGCTCTGTTGGTTTATTTTCCATTTTATCCAACCCAGCAATTCTGATATTTTTTAGCATATTTGATTCTAGTTTGAGTGCTTGTCCACATGTTTTAGAAGGCTCATTCAGTGCAGATAACCAGGGGTATCTAAAACTTACAATTGGCTCACTCTGCCCATAAAGCTGAGATCTCCTGCATTTTAATTACAAATTTAAGTGAAAGGGAGAATCTGATCTCTTGTGTATCTTTCTGAAACTCAAATTCTGCAGTATTATGCCACATTACAGCAACTTTTTTAAAAAGACAATTTGACCCTTAGCGTCCATTTTAAGGCCAAGAGTGTACATGAACTGCTGAGAAGCTTTTCCATCAGAATTCTCTAGGAACTGCGCACACAAGCAAGGGCTTTGCTCATTCTTTTTTTTGAAACAGTATCTCCAGCATAGATTGGGGAAGTAAACGTCATACCCTTTACCTTATCAAAGAATCTTGCACTTTCTGATTCCTAGACCTAGACCAACATCCCTGCCACATAATCATAAACAAGTGTTACAAATTTCTCTCATCGCTTTCAATAAGATAAGCATGCTCTTTGTAGTGCTTTTATGTTTTGATATCTTTAAAAACATGCATACATGTATTCATACATTGTCTTAGGTGGAGGGCAAGAGTCTTGAGAAAGTAAAGCCATACAACCATGTCACAAGAAAAGCACATGGCTCAGTGAGCTTGTTTACATTACAAACAGCTTTTCTTTGCAAGGTTAGGTAAAAGTCATTAGTCTGAAATATGCCTATATTGTAAAAGCCATTCTTAAAATATCATTTAAGAAATCATTACTGAGTGTCTACTGCCTACTTAACACTGTACAGTTTGCTAAGGAATACAATATGCAGCAAGATGGACCCAATCCCAGGCCTTACAGTGTTCATACTATGCTGGTGATGGCAGTAATGGCAAATACTTTGTGCGCTCGCACGCACACCTGCACATGCATGCGTGTGTGTGTGTGTGTGTGTGTGTGTGTGTGTGTGTGTTGAGTACATGTGTATGGTTCATGGTATGGAGGCATGTATATTTGGGTGCACATGCATGTGTGTATGCAGACCAGAAGCCAACATTGGGTGTCTTCCTCTGTCACTCTCCATCCTATTTATTTGAGACAGGGTTTTTCACTGAACCTGGAGCTCACCAATCGGATAGACTATCTGGCCAGCAAAGTCCCAGGAGTCCTTCTGTCTCTCCCCACATCCCATGCTGGGGTCATAGGTCACTTTTTATGTGTGTGCTAGGTATTCACACTTGGGTCCTCATGCTTCCGTGGCTAACACTTTACTGGCTGAGTCACCTCCCCAGCTCCGAAGAAATGTCACCAATGAACTTCATGTCAATGCGTTCCTTTTTTTCAGAACTGGGATTGAATCTAGGGACTGACCTAGCTAGGCAAACACTCTACCACCAAATTATAACCCCAGTCCCTAGGGTTAGCAAACATTTCTTAATAGGTTTGTTTTAAGCTTAACTGTGTCCCATCCTCAAAAGATGTATCAAAACTTAGCCCCAGTATCTAAGGGCATTTGGAAATAGAGCCTACATATGTAACCAAGTTAAGATGAAGTCATTAGGATGGGCTCTAATCCAAAATGATCAGTATCTTTATATGCAGAGAAGTGACATACAGGGCAAGCACCACAGGGTGGAGGTAGGATTAGAATGATGTTTCTGTGGGCCAAGAAACTGGTGGAGGTAGCAGAGGCTGGAAAACAAAAGGAAGGATCTTTGTTTTAACTCCTCCAAGGCTACATGACCCTGCCAGCATTTTGATTTCTGACATCTGGCCTCCAGAGCTACGCCAGGATATAGTTCTATTATGTTAAGCTACCCAGTCTATGATATGTTGTTATAGAATCCCTAGTGCTCCAGCTTGGTTTCTGTTGTGATAAACACTAACCAAACACAACTTGGAAAGTAGTTTATTTGACTTACAGCTCCCAGTCCATCATCAAGGAAAGCCCAAGGCAGAAACTGAAGGAGAAACCATGGAAGGATGCTGATGCTGCTTACTGGCTCGCTGCCCCTGCCTTGCTCAGCCTGCTTTCTTATACAGCTCAGGCCCACCTACCCATGGGTGGTATCACCCACAGTGGGCTGGGCCCCCCCACATCAATTAGCAATTTAAAAATTGCCTCACAGAGATGGTCTCAGGCAATTCAGATAGCAGAAATATCTCAACTGAATTTCCCTCCCGGCTCCCCAGGTGACTAATTTATGTCAAGTTGACAAAAACTAACCAGCACACCTAAGATACTAATACCAAGTCAATAACTTATGGTTTCATGGAATATTTTTTGGGAGAGAGGGAAACTCACAGAGATTATGTAAAAAACTTGTTTGCTTACTGCTGTTATCAAAAAGATTTAATCACATGTAAAATATGTGTCAATAACAATAAATGATAAGTTCTGATCATTGAGTAAAAAATAAATACTCCAGAAGAATTAAATGCATGTGTCCAATAACCATTACAGCAAACCCTAAGCCTCTATAATTAAACTTGTGCAGTTACAATAACTTAAGTTCATCTTCCCTGTCAGCAGAGATCTGTACCACTCAGGGTTGGTACTAAGGTGAGGGGAATAATACTCTATCACACACCAAAAACAGACGTTTTGACAAAATTTATCATAGTTGAAAAGATATCTGTTCTCTGCCTCAGCAAATCCACATCCAAGCATTCATCCTCAGAAAAGATGCTGTGTGTGAAGACTTCTGGTGAAAAACAGTGTTACCAGGGGCTGGGGAGATGGCCAGGTGCCTAAAATGTTTGCTGTGCAGGTAAAAAGACCTGAGTTTGGATCCCCAGCACCCACATAAAAGCCATTGATGGTGAGGCATGTTCGTAACCCCAATGCTGAGGGGCAGGGGGAAGGGGAATCGAAATAGGCAGATCCTAGAGGCTTGCTGGCCAGCCAGTCTAGCTCATTAGCAAGCTATAGGTTCAGTGAGAAACGCTGTCTCAAAAAAGTAAGACAGAGAGTGATAGAGGAAGACACCTGATGTTGACCTCTGGTCTCACACACACAAGGGTATGCACACTCACATATAGTGTATGTATACAAAAATAAATAAATAAATAAAAATAGTTATCATCATTCTTTGTAATAACCAAATGTTGGAAACAACTTAAAAGTCTTTCCATAGGAGATCAGTCAGTTAATTGGCATTGTGTTATGAACTGGGGCTATAGCTTGGTTGACAGAATACTTGCCTAGCTCTTCTGAAGCCTTGGATTTGATTCCCAACACAGCAGAATGTAGACGTGGTGATGCACAGTTAGAATCCCAACATTTGAGAGGTAAAGGCAGGAGGATCAGAAATTCAAAGTCATCCTCAGCTACATATGGAGTTTGAGACCAGCCTTGTCTCAAAATAATTAATAAAAAAAATTTTAAGTCATAGGTGTATATACGCATCAAAAGTTTGGGAAGATATACACACAGTATACTTATTTTGTTTTTAGTTTTTGTTTGGGGGATAGTCAGCCTCACACATAGTAAACAAGCCTCTACTAATGAGCTATATCCCCAGTCTTTTAAAAACATTTTATTTCAAAACATAACCTTACAAGTTACTCAGGCCTTAAAATCACTCAGGCAGGCCTTGAGCTTGTGAACCTTCTGCCTCGGACTCCTGAGTGGCTGGGAGACATGTTTTATACTCTAAATAGTAATTTTTTTTTTAAACCGTGCATTTATTTTTTTCACTTGGGTTTTAGGAAACTTAGTTTCCCATTATTTGAGTTTCTTAACATTGAAGAAACAATATTTTCAAGTTTTTAAAAAATGCAGTCTGAGGGCTGGAGAAATGGCTCAGTGGTTAAGAGCACTGGGTGCTCTTGCAGCGGACACAGGTTC